CACAGGTCTCTTCTCCACCAGAGTTTTCATCATTTTAAATGTTATATATTCTTTGCAACCTGTCTCTCCTGTGATGAATGAAACTTTTTAAAAGGTTTATTTGCGCTCTTAGGTATAATACAGACCCGTAGAACGCGGAAGGGGGGGGGGGCAGGGGACCGCCTCCTTTTTCTGAGTATAGTATTTTGCTATAGTAAATTTTCCTTTAGATACTGGTCCCCCCTTTTTTTGTTGTAAGGCCGAGTACTAGCAAATTCCAGGATTTGGACAGTAAATTAGGTTTTTGTTTGTTTGTTTTTTTTTTCTTTTATTGTCAGAATATTTTTTGAAACTGTTGCTACGGGTCTGTAATTCTATAGGTTAACACTAATTATGGTACAAATTATACAGGTTTAAAATCCTTATTCCTACAGATATTTGACTGCCAAGTTTTATAGTAGATAAAATCAGGGACGTATATATATATACATGTATATATATTAGGTCTCTGTTATAATCAGCTCTGTAGAACGTGTTGGGGGGGGGGGGGCGCCACCCCCCACTTTTTTCTAAGTATAGTTTTTGCCATAGTAAATTCTCCTTTAGATGCTGGTTCCCCCCTTTTTGTTGTTGTAAGGTACAGGCAAATTCCAGGATTTGGACAGTAAATTAGATTTTTTTTTTGGGGGGGGGGGGCTTGTCAGATTATTTTGGGAAGTTGGCCCCTCCCACTTTTGGTCAGTGTCGTTTTTTTTTTTATTTTGTTTGCTTGTCAGATTTTTGTCAGAAGTTGCCTGATAATTAAAATAAGAATCTAATTTTAACGTACTCCCTTTTAAGATTGTAAGTATTTGGTTGTATACGTGTAAATATGGAAATCTCGGCCATTGTCTTAAAACGTGTACACATGCACCCCCCCCCCTTCAATATTTAAAAAAAAAGCAGAAGGATAAACTGTAAAATAAACATAAAGTTTAAAAAAAATGAATTAAAAGATCTTAGATATATCAATAAATAAATAAAACATAAAAAAACGTATTCAGTCTTAGGAGAATTTTTTTTAGTTTTTATGGGTAGCTACATTATAGGTTATAAAATAATCAAAAGCACTCGAACAGTGTATAATATCCTATGTAATACAAAATTATAGATACTTTTTTTATGATCTAAAATTCATATAAAAATTGCATCTTTTAATTCCTGTCATATATTTAAAAAATATGTTCTAGAAAGATATTACCCT